CTCTATCTCTTCATGGATAGAATAAAATACTTTATCAAATTCTTTGCTGAAATCTAAGTATAATACATATATGTTTATGTATATATGCACTATATGCAAATGATTTCCCTAATATACCAGCTTGGTAACCTTATAAAAATGGAAATAAGTTTATCCTGAATGTATTATTCTTGAATGAGCCATGATAGTCTTTGATGATGACTGGATCAGCCCTCCCTCACTTAAATCCAATTCATTTGCATGTCATGGCATCACCTCTACTGATGTCATGATCCTCTTTGAGAAGACAAACAACAACAACCCTAATGACTGGAGAGCAACTTTACTAAACTTTAATGTACCCATGCCAAATTTGTAATCTGTTTCTCACTTAATTCTTCCTTCTGTCCTAGTGGTCTGTAGTAAACTCTGACTATAAAATCATTTCAGTTTTTCTCTCCATTTACCCTCATTCACATGATTTCCATCATGTTGTTTCCCTGGAGTTCCTGTGTTGCCTCATTTGTGAATATCCTCTTGTTACATAATGCTACCTCATCATTTCTTGTCTATTTTGTTCCATTAGAATAAGATATGCCATATCAGATCAGTACTCTAGTCATGCATCACTCAGAACTAATCCCTTAAGTCTCAATGATGCCTAGGAGGTAAAATTGGCCTTTTTGCATTTTGATCTGCAGTTCAACCTATTTACCTATACTTGGTTCATTTGTAGATACACATCTAGGCCATTGATTTTGGTCTTCATTCTCTTCTTGAATTATGGTCTCCCATAAATTATTGTTCCTCTCTATTCATCCTAGAGAGAATCTGCTCTTCTCCACAGTCCCAGGCTTGGCAGATCTGTGTGAGCAGTCTTTTCCCCCCTTCTCTTTCTAATTTAAAACCTTCTTAAATTATCATTTCAAGACTCTAGGCAAATATTTCTGGAATTTCTTCCTGTTTATGAGCAAGATTTCATCATTCTTATCTTTTGATATAGAATTCCTATGTTTGGAATCTATTATAGCAATTCTAATGCTCCTATTCCTTTTATAGAAATTCTTAAATTTTGATTTAGAAATCTAAATTCTGAGAATTCCATCCTCAAATATTATTTTCTTATTGACTAATCACTTCCCAAATCCCAGGCTTGCACTCTGGAAATACTAAAACTACTCTCTGTCCCTTTGACCTCTTCCTCTGATTGGACGCCTGCTCCCAGAATCTCCCTTTTTGGAAGGAACTCAAGCTAGCCATTTCTTCATTCTTCTCCAGGATATAACTCTATCATACCCCTATACTAAATGTCTTTATTTCCCACCCACCTCCTTTTCTGCTTCCTTTTATGGGGTGTCTTCCTCCATCAAAATATAAGCCCCTTGAGATCATGGACCGTTTTTCTTTCTGCTAGTGTTTGTATTCCCAACACTTAGCACAGTACCTAAATCATAATAAATGCTGCACAAATGCTTGTTGACTAACAAAGTGACTCACTTTCTCATTGGAATCTTACCCCCTCACTTGACAATGACAATGAAAATGAAAATATCACATGTGATCTAAAGTCTTCAGTTTGCCCGGGACTTCAGGATTCAAAAAAATGCTTCCTAGCTTCCTCCTTGTTCTATCATTGTCTCCACAGGAATCACCAGGAATGGGAAGTTTTCATAATTCTGAACAAGTCTTGAGATACCCGCCATAATATCCTGGCTACCTGCTCCAGGAAGACAGTAAAGCTTTCTCTTACTGATGCCAACTAGACAAGAAGTCATATCAATATCCCACAACAGAATTCAAATACCACTACTTACCTCCTTCCTCTGAGAATAACTAGATGCCCTTTCACCAAGTGACACTTACAAATCCTTATCTTCATTCCCTGGAGCACTAGAAAGTGCTTCTTGAAGAGATTGGCCACCTTCACCTTCTACCACAAGATTATCATACTTAATTACTTAGCTACAAATGTTAAGTGATCCAGGTTCTTCTCTTCTTTAGCTGGATCACATTCTTCTACCCTCTAACCTCTTGACACAGGTTCATATTCCTGATGTCCTGCCTTGGGCCTCCTATATCCAATCCATGAAAAATAGAGAAGGTATCCATCATGTCTTGGAATTATATCAAGACCTGTAACCAGGTCCATCTGCCCTGTGCAATTCCTGACCTCCCTCTAGGCTAGCATTCCTGCCAAAAGCAGATGAGCAGATCTTCAGCAAAAGAAAAAAACCCTACACTATTTTGTTTTAAAAATCAATAGTAATGTTGATATTCATTTTAAAAATCATATTTCATGTTCTTTAGCATATTTGATATTATTTCAATTCAACAATCTTTTATTAAGGCTCTTCTATATACAAGGTACTCCACTGCAAAGACAAAAGTCTAATATTTCATGCTCTCAAAGACCTGATGGTCTACAGGGTATTTCAAGATATTTTGATACCAAATCTCCTTCTCCCTCAACAAACCCCCTTCATCCTTTTTTTAACATCCTAAAATATATCTCAATGTGTTCTGTAGCATTTTTTTCTTTTTTTTGTTTTTTATTTGTTTGTTTGTTTGTTTTTAGGCAATAGGGGTTAAATGACTTGCCCCAGGTCACACAGATAGTAAGTCAAGTGTTTGGTCTGAGGCCAGATTTGAATTCAGATCTGCCTGACTTCAGGGCCAGTGCTCTATCCACTGCACCACCTAGCTGTCCCTAGCATTTCTTTTTTCAAGTGAAAATTTGTATATTTTTCCAATTACATATAATAATTTTCAACAATTTTTTTGACTTCTAAACTCTCTGTATCTCTGTGTCTGTCTGCCTGTCTTCCCCCCTTACCTCTTTCCCTTCCTTCACCTCTCCTTGAGAAGGTAAGCAATTTGATATAGATTATATATGTGCAGTCATGCAAAACATATTTCCATATTCGCCATGTTCTTCTACATCATTTCTGTGGTTATTTTTTATGTAACAAGAATGTCTCTTCAATTTGTTCTTTTCATTAATAGAAGTACTATTGAAGACTATTTTATCTGATATCATTTGTTTCCATAGAATATATTACTATCTGGTTATTTATGATTTCCTAGACTATTGATCTTCTTAGGGCTTAAATTTAAATGATTTGTCTTTTTTTTTAAATTGTGATGTCATTAACATCAGAAAATTCCTCCACCATCCAAAATTAATACTTGCTCACTTCTTGAACAACTTAGAATCACAGAGAGTTGTGCAGGGCATCAAAAGGTTAAATGACTAGCAACACACCTAAAAATGATCATTTCCTCTTTTTTTGGGAAAACATACAAATCATTAGAACATGCTGGTTCTTTTAATTAAAAAAAAAGTTCAATCAAGAAAATGGTCCTTTAGCATAGCCATAGATGCAACAGAAGGAATGCATGTGTTGGAAATTAAACATTTATTAGTCATCATTCATTTATTTATTCAACAAACATTTGTGAAGGATTAACTCTATGCAGAACATTCATTATAGAGATAGATACAAAGTTTATAAAAAAGATACAGACTTCATTGATATAGACTGACAGAACTCAGGGGTATCTGAATGAGAAATTATTTTTAAGAAACTGCAAATTTGTGCTTTTCAAATTCATTGAAGACTTGAAGACTAGGTGGTGCAATATATAGAATACTGGGCCTAAAGTCAGGAAGACCTGAGTTCAAATCAGACACTGTCTAGCTGTGTGGTCCTGGCAAGTCACTTAACTCCTTTTTGCCTCAGTTTCTTCAACTATGAAATGGAAATAGAAAGAATACCTTCGTCCCAAGGTTGTTGTGTGGATCAAATGAGATAATATCTGTAAAAAACACTTAGCATAGTATTTGGCACATAGTGAGTATAATAAATACTACAACAAAATATTTCAAAGTAGCTTTTCTGTGTAGAAAGTGGTGAACCTCCTTTAATGAAGAGGTGAGATTCATTGTCCTTAAGGATATATACTTAGGAATAATATAGGACCCTGTGATTTTACTGATGCAGGGAACTTTCAAATGAGGAAACTATCAATGAAAATTGGCATCTTCTCTGCAATTTATAGTGTCAGACAGCTGCCTAAATCTCTAAAAGGTTAAGTGTGACACAGCCATTATATATGAGAGAAGGTACTTGAATCCAGATCTCCCTAGTTCTGAGAGCAATTCTTTATCAAAGACAAATATATGCTACATATCTTGTATTTATGTACCATAAATGTAATATACCATGCTTATCTCATGAATACGACATAAGAAATAATAAATCATTTGAGTACAAATGATTGAAGTGTCAAAATACTTTAAAGTGGCTGGTTTTCTTAAATAGTTCAAAGAGCTCTTAGAATCCTTCATATGTCATCCATTTTATTACCAATCCTACTTTTCATGGATCATAAAAAAGTGAATTTTAGACCAGTCTAATTCTAATTGAATATAAATTCTAAATGTGTAGATTTGTACATGTGAAGTCGTCCTATGTTTATAAGAATCAAAATTAGCTTATTCTTCAGATATCTGTGTCAAGAACATCTAATCCAAATGCTTCAGTGTGTATAATTTCTAGCTGTATCTATGGAGGTTGGAGTGGTGGTTTGGCATCTAAAGCTTATGGTTGACTAGTTTGATTCTATGTAATACAACTAAACAGTGAGTCATATGTCACAGATGACATTTACATTTTGGTACCAGGAAAAAAAACTTGGGAAACAACAAAGGCCATTAAAATATAAGGGGGGAAACGCTGGCTAAAGCTGTTAAGTTAGCATACCCAAGGGAATTAAGTTTACTGGGCATGAACGGCTGAACAATGAAGAAGCACTCAAATCTATGAATTTCCTTTTATTGTCTGATTAGCCCTTCTTTTTGTCTTAATTGATTTTGAGAGCCCATCTATTAAATGTTAAACTATGCTCTATGGAAGTTGGTAATATAATTTTGGGAAAAAAAAAACTGTCTCCAAGATTTACATTAACATTTTTCCCTAAGGGAACAAAAATAGAAAATCAAGATTTTACTGCTCCTCATCTGACCCCAGCTAAAGCTCTGTAAAGACCTTATTCTCCCACTTATATTTGAGCTCTTCCGAAAGATCACTCCTCCCAGTCTTTCGGAGATGACGAGATAGAAGCCGTCGTTTATCAACTGATGTTGGGAGGGTTTTCTTCCAGAAGGAAAGAAATTCGTAGATCTGCTCAGTTAGGTTATCAGGATTCTTCAGTTTGACAAGTTGAATGGTACTCCGCCGCAGAGGGAGGGATGCAGCAAGAGATGCCGCATTTTCTTCGGACAGTTCCTCAGCCAACCAGTAAAACAAGTTTTCCCAAAGGGCTTCTGTGAGGCCAACATTTAACACTCATTATGGCTATCAGAGATCAAACTGATACCTATTCTTAAGTGACATGTTTATCTGGTTTTCCACATCTCTTTAGTGAAAATGCAGGCTCTAACTTCAGAGCCTGAGGAAGATTTAATGCAACCCAGGAGACAGTTGTTTGTAATATTTCAGCAACTGCTCAAGAGTGTCTGATTCACTGCAACTGCCAGATTTCTGGCAATCTGTTATATGCTTATATAACATATAAGCATATAACAGAGGTTTTATGCTTAAAAATATCCTCTCCCAGTGATGAATTTTACTTATGCATTAGCCATACTATAACTCCAAGGCAGCAGATTTTCTCCCAACCTCATGTTAAAGGAGAGAGAGATTACAGGTTTAATAGCAGCACTGAGGGCCCAGGACTAGAGTTGAAATGATTCAATCTGACCATTTGATATTGATTCAGGATAAGCCTCAAAGAAATTCTGCTGCCTTTTAGTACAGAACAGTAATATGTATGAGGAGCAATTTATACAGTGAGAATACATTAAGACCTGAGTTTTTATGTAGAAAAATTCCTATCTGTTTATGATCTGACTTGAAATCATTTATATCTAACTACATGTGATATATGGAGAGGCAAATTGGTAAAGTGTATGCTGTTCTAGACATGCAGTCAAGAAGATTTATCTCTGGGCTTGGAGTCAGGAAAACCTGGGTTCCAATCCTATCCCTTAAACTTACTCACTGTATGACAAAGCACATAATTATTATATGTCTCACAATTTGCTTTAATGGGGGAGGTTCTACACCAGGAACTTCTGCATTGAGAAACTCATCAGTATTATAGATAGACTCATGTTCTATGTACCACTATTCCAGGTACCACCTTCTTTTACAACAGCTATTGAGAACTTCATCTTCTAAGAAAATTAGAAATATATAAATGGTAGCAAAGAGGCAACATTGCACAGTGATAGAGGGCTGGCCATGAAGTTGGGCAGACGAGGGTTCATCTTACTTCTGATGTATACTAGCTGTTTGACAATGGCCAAGTTGCTTAATATCACAGTTTCCACCCTTCCCTGGCAAAGTCTCTAAGAATGAACAAATCACCATTCTGTATGAATGACAAATTTCTATACTGGGAATGACCCCATGTCACTGAAACCACATGTCCAAACTGACTGAATATTAGCTATTTTAAAAATCATATTCTAGCGCTTCCAAGAATTCTTTTTGGACTTGTGCACAATTTTTTTTTTTTCTTTAAGGCTTTGCTTGTAGCTCTTTTGACATTATTGTCCTCTTTGGAGTTTGTGTCTTGATCTTTCCTGTTACAATAGTAGATTTTTTGGGTCAAGTTCTTTTTTTGTTGTTTGCTCATTTTTCTACCCTGTTTCTTGATTTGGAGCTCCCAGTATGGAATGGGAAAGAATTGTCTCAAGCATTAGGCTTTTTTGTCCTGCTGTTTTCAAAGATAGTCCTGGGGGTTGGAACTTTTCAGTGCTTCCAAGGTGGTGTGATCTGGGGAGAGGTGTAGTCACTGTTCTCCTGGTCTGCATTCTGGTCTTTGCCCAGAAAGGTGTGACCCTGGGCAAATCATTTAATTTCTTTTAGCCTCAGTTTTCTCATGTGTAAAATGGGGCAAGTAATATTTATACCAACTGCCTCACAGAGTCCATTACTATCAGAACCAGGGTGTGATATAACACAACAATCCCATAAAAACAAAAATACCTACTTTATCTGAGGTCATTTAAGGTTCAATTACTTGGTATGTGTAAATTACTAAGTAATAAGTTATTTTACTAATAAAAAAGATTTCATTCAGAGATGGAGTAGAAAAATATTCCTAATTCTACTTTTGTGTCCACAATTATTATGTGGTTACTTTAAGTATAGCTATGAATGAACAGTAAATAAGTGCAGAGTATTATTTCACACTGAAATACATGCATTTTAAAATTACTGACCTCATAAATGTGGGATAGTTGTGATACTCTAATATTTAAAACCTACCAGTCGCACTCAAGTACAAACTGCAATTGTTTGTTTACTAGAATCAGCAATCATCAGTTCTATGAGTTAGCCAATGTATGCAACCATCCACATTTCTGGTAGTTTTTAATACCACTTTAATTTCATCTGCATAGAATTATCACTAGGGGAATATTTTTAAAATGTTATTCCATTTGTACATGTATTTCCTAAAGGACAATGCATTTATTATGCTGATGAATCAACATTACTCTTACAGCACTCTTGAGTGGAAAGCAATTTTTGTCATCAATTCTCTTACATTTTTAATTGCAAAATATTTTTTCTCTTAATTTTTTTTTTCAGAAAGAGAGCTACATATATGAAAATGTTGGGATGATGAAATTCAACCTGGAAAAATAGTTACCTACCTGAAGGATCTGTAGACATTCGTTTAGTGCTCTGTGGATGGTTGATTAATTTTTCATGCTATTGGATGAAAAGGAGGCAGAGGAACAGGAGAAGTAAGCCATTAATTTGAGGACAAAATCTGCACAAATAACCTACACAAACACAAACTGTATTTGGAAATAGAGGAACTACAGTGCATGGTGTGCAAAATTAGTTTGTGCTTTGAAGTCTGGGTATGCTCAGCAATTGTTTTTTCCAAGACTTGAGGTAAGATTAATGCCACTGGATGCTGATCCAAGTCTTTTGGCAAATTCAGCTCAAAGAATACACATTTATGCCATTTTTATAATCCATAAAAATCACTGTGCAGCACTCACACTAACCAAATAAATGCTATGCAAGTAAGATTAATATCTTTTAAGATGAATCCCCGAGGCCTAAAATAACAGCTTATGTAATGGTTAGTGTTTTACAGTTACAAAATACTTTTCACATACATTATCTCATCCAAGCTACTTGTCAAGCTTGTAAGATGGTCACTGTAAATGCTTATTAACCCCACTTTGCAGATAAGGAAACTGAGGCTCAAAGAGATTGTGTCTAACCCAAAGTCATACAACCATTCAGTAATTGATAGAACTAGAATATAAAAACAGTACTCTTGGCACTTTGGGGGTGGAGCCAAGATGGCAGAATAGAGAAAGCACTCAGCTGAGCTCTCTCAACATTATCCTCAAAACAACTTTAAAATAATGCCTCAAATCGAATTCTGGAGTGGCAGAGCCAATAAAAAGTCAGAGTAAGACATTCTTCCAGCCTAAGACAGTATAGGAGGTTGGACAGAGAGAGAGATCTGTGACACAGAGGAGGATGACCTGGAGCCCATGTGGATGAAACCCAAGTAGTGGGACTAGGTGGTGGTGACAGAAGCGCTAGCAGCTTTGGGAGTTCTCAAGCTAGAGATGGAAAAGGGACCTGGCAACTGATCAGAAAGAGATTTCAGGGGATCCCCGAGCTAGCACTGGACATAGGACAGATGCTGTCCTTCTGGGTCATAATTCAAGGTCAAGGAGGAGCGCTTTAGGTCAAGAGATAGTGAAAGTCCTGAGGAACAGGATCACTTCCAGCCCCAAGGGATCAGGAACTCTGAGGAATAGTATTGTTTCTGGTCCCAAGGGAACAGGGGCCCTAAGAAGCAATATTGATTGCTATCCCATGGGTTCAGGGGCCCTTTCTGGGCAAGGACCAGAATGCAGACCAGGAGAACAGCGACTACGCCTCTCCTCAGATCACACCACCTTGGAAGCACTGAAAACTTCCAACCCCTAGGACTATCTCTGAAAACAGCAGTGCAAAAAAGCCTAAAGCTTGAGACAGTTCTCACCTTTACCCCATTCCATATTGGGAAAAGGTCCCAATATTAACATGAAGTTCCAGATCAAGAAATAGGGTGGAAAAAGGAGCAAACAACAAAAACAACAACAACAACAAAAAGAACCTGGCCATAAAAATCTACTATGATAATAGGGAAGATTAAGACACAAACTCAAAAGAAGACAATAATGTCAAAACAACTACAAGCAAAACCTTAAAGAAAAAAAATGCGAATTGTACACAAGCCCAAAAAGAATTCCTGGAAGAGCTAAAAAATGATATTTAAAATCAAATAAGAGTGATGGGAGGAAAGTAGCTAAAGAAATTACAGCAAAGTATGAAAAGACAATTAAAGGCTTTGTAAAAAAAAAAAAAACACAAAAATACTGAAAAAAAAATAACACCTTAAAAACAGAATGGGCCAAATGGAAAAGTTTATAAAAATTCACTGATAAAAATAATTCCTTAAAAATTAGAATTTGATAAGTGGAAGCTAATGACTCCATGAGACATCGAGGAACAAATAAAACAAAGTCAAAAGACAAAAAAAAATAGAAGAAAATGTGAACTATCTCACTGGAAAAACAACTGACCTGGAAAATAGATCAAGGAGATGGATAGAGCACTGGCCTTGGAGTCAGGAGGACCTTAGTTCAAATCCAGCCTCAGACACTCAGCCCTTGCTAGCTATGTGACCCTGGGTAAATCACTTAACCCCAATTGCCTCACCAAAAGAAAAAAAGCAAAAAAAAAAAAACAGATCAAAGAGAAAGAATTTTAAATTATTGGATTATCTGAAAGCCATTGTCAAAGAAACATTCTAGACATCATATTTCAAGAAATTGTCAAGGAAAATTGCTCAGATATCCTAAAACAAGAAAGTAAAATAGAAATAGAAAAAATCTACCAATCACCACCTGAAAGAAATCCCAAAATGAAAACTCCCAGGAATGTTATAGTCAAATTCCAGAACTCATTGGTAAAAGAGAAAAACACTTCAACCATCCAGAAAAAAAAATAAAATATTGTGGAGCCAGAGTCAGGATCATATAATATTTAGCAGCTACCACATTAAAGCAATTTATCATGAAGATCATACACTATGACCAGGGGAGATTTATACCAGGAATGCAGGGCTGGTTCAAAATTAGAATAACTGTCAGCATAATTGACCATATCAATAATAAAAACAACAAAAGTCATACAAATATTTTAATAAATGCAGAAAAAACATTTGACAAAATATAACACCTATTCCTATTAAAAACTTTAGAAAGCATAGGAGTCAATAAAACTTTTCTTAAAATGATAAGTAGTATCTATCTAAAACTAAGAGCAAGCATTATCTGTAATGGAGATAAACTTGAAGCTTTCCCAATAAGATCAGGAGTGAAGCAAAGATGTCCATTAGTAGATGTCACCACTATTATTCAATATTGTGCTAGAAATGCCAGCTTTAGCAATAAGATAAAAAAAATAAATTAGAGCAATAAAAACAGGCAATGAAGAAATGAAACTGTTACTCTTTACAGATGATATGATGATATATCTAGAGAACCTTAGAGAATCAACTGAAAAACTAATAGAAACAATCAAAGTTGCAGTGTATAAAATAAACCCATACAAAACATCAGCATTTTGATATATTACCAACAAAACCCAGCAACAAAAGATGGAGAAATTCCATTTAAAATAACTGCAGACAATATAAAATACTTGGGAGTATATTTACCAAGGCAAACCCAGGGATTACATGAACACAACTAAAAAAAAAACACTATTCATAAAAATAAAGACAGATCTAAACAACTGGAGAAATATTAATTGCTCATAGGTAGGCCAAGTCAATACAATAAAAATGACAATTCTACCTACCTTTACTTATTCAGTGCCATATCAATCAAACTACCAAAGAATTATTTTGTAGCATGAGAAAAATAGTAACAAAATTCATCTGGAAGAACAAAAAGTCAAGAATATCAAAGGAATCAATTAAAAAATGTGAAGGAAGGTGGCCTGACAGTCACAGATTTCAAACCATATTACAAAGTAATAATCATCAAAACAATCTAATACTGGCTAAGAGATAGAGTGATGAATCCATGGAATAGATTAGATAATAATACATAGTAGCAAATGGCCACAATAACCTAGTGTTTGATCAACTCAAAGATTCAAGCGTTCGCGGTAAGAACTCAACATTTGACAAAGATTATGGGGAAAACTAAAAAGCAATTTGGCAGAAACTGAGCATAGATCAATATCTCACATTGTATACCAAGATAAGATAAAAATGGATAAATAATACAAACATAAAGGGCGATGTCATACGTAAGTTATAAGAGCAGGGAAAAATATACCTGTCAGATCCATGGGTAAGGAAAGAGTTATGACCAAATAAGAGATAAAGAGATGGTATTTAAAGTGGATAATTTAGATTACATGAAATTAAAAAGCTTTGCACAAATAAAACTAATGCAGCCAAAATTAGAAGGAAAGCAGGAAACTGAGAAAAAAAATACAAGAAGTTTCTTTGATAAGAACTAATTTCTTTTTTTCTTTTTTTGACAAGGCAATCAGGGTTAAGTGACTTGCACAGGATCACACAGCTAATAAGTGTCAAATGTCTAAGGACTGATTTGAACTCAAGGCCTCCTGACTCCAGAGCCAGTGCTCTATCCACTGCACCACCTAGCTTCCCCTAAGGCCTCATTTCTTAAAGATATAAGGAACTGATTCAAATTTTCAAAAATGAAAGCCGTTACTCACTTGATAAATGGTCAAAGAATGTGGACAGGTTATTTTCAGAAAAAGTCACATGAAAAAATCCTCTCACTACTTATGAGAGAAATGTAAATTAAAACAACTCTGAGATATCTCCTCACACCTCTTAGATTGACTAATATGATAGAAAAGGAAAATGACAAATGCTAAAGGGAATGTGGAAAAATTAGGACACTAATGTACTGCTGATGGAGTTGTGAACTAATCTAATCATTCTGGGTAGGCAGCTAGGTGGCACAGTAGATAGAGTGCTGGGCCTGGAGTCAAGAAGATTCCTCTTCTTGAATTCAAATCTGGTGTCACACTTACTAGCTATGTGACCCTGGGCAAGTTGCTTAACCCTTTTTGTCTCAGTCCCTTATCTATAAAATCAACTGAAGGAAATGGCAAACCATTCCAGTATCTTTGACAAGAAAACCCCAAATGGGGTCATGAAGAGTAAAATGCGACTGAAAAACGACTGAATAACAATTAACCATTCCGAAGAACAATTTGGAACTGCACTATTAGGGCTATAAAACTGTGCATACCTTTTGACACATCAATACCACTACTAAGTCTGTATCCCAAAGAGATCAAAGAAAAGGGAAAAAGACCTATTTGTACAAAAATAATCATAGCTGCTCTTTCGTGGTGGCAAAGAATTGGAAATCAATGGGATGCACATCAATTGGAGAATGACTGAAGAAATTGTGGTATATGATTGTGATGGAATACTATGGTGCTATAAGCAGGATGATTTCAGCAAAACCTCTAAAGACTTATATGAACTCATGCAAAGTTAAGTGAGAATCAGGGAAACACTATACAAAGTTAACAGCAATATTGTACAGATGTTCAACTGTGAAAGACTTAGCCACTTTGATCAAGACAATGGCCTGGGCAGTTCCAAAGGGCCCATGATGAAAAATACTATCTAT